TTTTTCTGCACAATTTGGCTAAAAACTTTTGTGCTCAAATTCCCATTTTCACCCTACTAGTACCCAAAGCTCTAAGTTTGAAAGTACCAGTTACGCCTTGTCCACCCTCGGAGGGATGTCAGCGCTAGCCTGCATGACACCACTAGTTGAAGAATTTCCGGTTCTGCAAGATTGCTGCAGGCAGAACACTACAACACTGTCGGCCGAGGTCGAAACCACCCGGAAAAACGACTCTACTGCAAAAGGCGACATGATCAGGATCAGGTGATGAGACTCTGTACTGATAAGTTCGCTCACACACACGACATCAGCTTTCACAAATCAGGAACACAGCGCCACGACGCAACTGCCATTTCGATCGGCTGACGAACCGGATTGCTATAAGCTGCGACGTTTCTCCGACAACACTAACACTTCGATAAATAATAATACTTAATAGTAGAAAATGTGTTAACCCGAGATAACTCAATGAAGATTGTGAAAAAGATTGGTTGATTGTGAATAAGACTGATTGTGAAAAAGGTTGATTGTGAGGAAGATTGATTGATTCAAAATATTTAGATATAGAACTATGCATGGCAAGAGAGATACTTGCACAGAAAATAAAATAAACAAATTGTCCGCTGAAACGATAAGTCACTGATAACATTTTAAGTATTGATTAGGTGTGTGTATGTTTATGTTGTTTTTGTAGGTTAGAAGAGGAGACGATTGGCTTCCGCCGGAAATGACGACTTCGCATCGGTCACCGGTGACTCAACGAGATGCACCAATGATAGCGATGAGTGATGAGATTCGAGTATCACTTCGAAGCACGTTACCGAAAAGGACGAAATTTGTGAAATTTTCACGAAAACACACAAAACTTGAACATTGAGTTAACTCGAGGTAGTTAACTACAAAACAGGCACAAAGATGAACATGACACAGGAAATACAATCAAACCGGCGACATCTCGAAGTTAACCTTGATTGCACGCGGGCACCGGTACCACTCACAGAAGCACTTAAAGACCGAGAATCGGTGAATCCTTTGCTTTCCACACGTGGAAAAGCCTTAACGTTGGGCGCCAGTTGAAGGGTTTCGACTCTAAAAGTCGAAAACTCTCTGAGGGAAAGAAGACTCAGGGGTTGAGTCAACGCGATTCAGGGTTGAGTCACGTTGACTCAACCCGGCAGGAAGAAAGATGAAAAAAAAAACTACTGCGATTACTGCTGGTGAAGCGACCCGCCAGCCGACACAGTTCCCTCACATCAAAGAAGATAAGACCACCCCCAAAGGGGGTGGTTTTATAGAAAATACACTCACATTTTAAAACAAAGGACGAAGGTGCGCACGGACGCGAAGAAGGGATGGCACGAACAACGGTCAGTGGCAGTTCCGATTCCCTCCACCAGGGAACTGGTGGGGGCAATCGGAAGTGCCAACTGAATTTTTAAATTTGTGGCGGGAGCAGGGATGCTGCGGGCGGAACACTACAATAAGTCATTGACTTAGGCTCTCACCATTATTGTGATAGTGAATATGCGTGAGACCTGATGGGTTAAGATTTTTTGAACCCGAAAAGATGAATTTGGAGCAAAAAAGAAATACGCGTGTTACTGTTGTCACTTTTTTTACGTTTATTTTTGTTTCTTTCCCATCTTATATTAATTTTTAATCTCTTTAAAAAGAATTTAAAGCAATGCGCCTTTTTTAAAATTTTCTCTCTTCATTTTTTCTTGAAGAATCGCTGACTTTAAAAAAATAAGAATAAAGAATGAAACTCTTCGAAAATGTTTGTAACACAATAACTTTTTATTTTTGGTGACTGAGATTGTTACATTTTTTAAATATTACTAGTTCTATTCAATTCGATTATAATATTCAAGACTATTCTGGACCATTTATTAGACTTTTTTATTTCAATTAGAATATTAATAGTTCTATTCAATAGTTCTTATTAATTCACATCGGGCGGAAAAGGAAGAATGTGAGCACTGTAAAAGAAACATTAATAGTTCTAATTCCTTACTTTAAAAAATAAGATTTGAAAAATAAGCTTTGAGATTTTCTGGATTAAGGCATCTTTTTCCGTGGACAGTCACAATTTATTCATAAAAAAAGTTCAATCTTCGATTACTCTTATATTTTACTCAGTTTACATAATCACACGCGTGACGTTCTAATATTTTATTGTATAGCTGCACTTCATTTTCCTTACACTCTCTAAAGTTGATAGGAAGGTGGTAAAGAAGTGCTGGATCCACCCTATTTTGCAAGGAAACAAGGTAAAAAGGGTCAAATGCTTCAATTACGGTAAAAAATGTTGAGCTCTTATGAGTATCCGTACAAGACTGTGGAGGGAGGGGGGGCGGAAAGATCGGTCCTGACAGGCCCTTCGACCCAAAATTTCCCCGGACACAAATGAATCAAAGTTTTAAATATCAACAATTTTGCACTCGCAAATTCCTTTCGAAAATACAGAAAAAACTGTATTTTGTTTTCGATCCACTCCATCGTTGTGTTCATAAATCAAAGGGACCCGGAAAATCGATATTGAACAGTGTAAACACTACGTAGCAGCAGAGTTATTCGATTATCTTCATCTGTCAACTTGGTTGGTGACATGCTGAAAAGTATGATTTTCTCCACATTTTTTAATTTCTTCCTCGGCCCTTAGCATAAGCATGCATTTTATTTGAC